CCTCTCTAGCCTTGGGATTTGAGGTCCTTACATGGTACCGCATGCAGAGAGATCTTCCCACACTTCTAGAGACTTTGCCTCTCAGAAAAAAAAAAAAAAAAAAAAAAAAAAAAAACCTTCCTTCTTAACTACTTTCTCTGCTGTCAAGGTCTTCGCCTTGGGAGGGCAGCCGCCACTTTACCACCAGGTAGACAGTGGTCAGCCACAGTGCATTGCTTTGCTAACCTCCCTTGCTGGACTTATCCCAGGGTTAAGCCACTGTGAGGCCACAAGGAATACCACTCACAGGGGAGTTTCCGGTAATGTATATTAGTGACCACTGGGGGTTGGGGCAGGAATCTGACGACTGATAGGTACAGGATTTCTTTTTAGGATGATGGAAATGTTATCAAAATAGATTATGGGGAGCATCGCACAACGCAGTGAGTGCACTGAAAAAAAAACTGAATTGTATCTTTTAAAACAGGAAGCTTTTTGTTGTGTGAATTCTAACTCAATAAAGAATGTGGCAGAAGGGAGGGATTCGTGCAGGAAAGAAAGCCTTTATTGTCTTAGAGAATACCTAAATTATCACAGACTGTTGGTAGAAATATGGGTGATAAAGGCACTGCTGCTGAGGGCTCAGAAAGAAGTAAGAAACTTGTTTTTGGAACTGGAAGACAGGGCATTCTTGTCACATGGTGGCAGAAAGCTCAGCTCAATCGTGCCTCACGTTTGTGTGGAAAGCAGAACTTATAAGGGATGAACCTGAGTATTTATTTGAGTAGATTTTCCAGTAACGTGTTGAAGCTGTGGCCTGGTTTCTTAGTGGTGCCTATAGTATAATACAAGAATAAGGAGAGAAATTGAGGGATGAGGTCTATTAAGCAAAAAAGGATCCAAGACTTTAAGATGTAGGAAATTCTCAGCCTATTCAGACTGCACAAAATGCTAAAATTAGGAGATGTACTCTCAAAAAAACATGCACTAAGGAGAAAGCCAAGGATATGGCTGGAGAATCTTTTGCAAGAGCTCTGAAAGAATAAAAAGATCAGAATATTCACAGGGTTAAATGAAATTATGCATGTGACTCATGGATCCCCTCGATCATCTCAATGGAATCTAGGAATATAAATAAGATTATCCAGGAAAGATCTGTGAAGGATCTTCTTGTCCAATGGAGAGAATCCTTAACACTTGAGGTTTTTAAAGAATGCCATGCCAGCAGAAACACTGTCAACTTGAACTAAAGTGACAGAGGATGAAATAAAAGAAGGCTGTTGGGCTTCCAAAATTCTACAGGCAAGAAACAGGCTGATAAAAGTACTCTGCTGCAAACATGTATTACTCTTCAAAACAAAAAGATGACTCTGAGGACAGAGCCTGGCTCTGTCCACTTAAAGGGTGGAGCCTCAGGCACAGAGGGCAGAGCCTCTAGCCACAGAGGAATATTCCCAGGCCTTGAAACCAAAGGGAGTTTACCTGATTAGATTTCAATTTGGCCTGGAGCTGGTAACTTTTTGTTTGCTTTCAGTTTTTCCCATTGGGAGGGTGACTGTCTATAACTGTCATCCTATGTCCGAGTCACCACTATAATCAAAAAGAGGTAACTTCTTTTTCTAGTTCGCACGGCCACTGATTAAGAGAAATTTTGCCTCATGAAGGATCACACCCAGAGTCTGTCTCATACCTAGCTTAGATTATTTACAGATGAGATTTTCGACTCGAGTTGGTGTGTCATGTGTCAAAGACTTCTGGGGGTATTGAGGTGAGGCAAACATAATTTGCATGTAGAATGAACATGAATTTTGGGGAGTTAGAGAGGAGACTGTGTTAACCTAAATAATGGCCTCCAAAGATATCCATGTTGTAGTCTCTGGAACCTCTGACTGTCACCTCATATGGCAAAAGGGACTTTACAAATGTGACTAAGCATCTTGAGATGGGGGGATTATCCTGCCAGGCCCTAAATGTAGGAATGTTTCCTCATTAAGAGGGAAGGAGAAGGACATTTCACATAGAAGGAGGCAATGTGATGACTGACACAAGGAGCTATAATGCTGGTTTGGATGACAAAGGAATGGGAGCTCTGGAAGCTCCAGGGAAGAACCCATTGCCTTGCCAAGGAATAAAGAATACAGCTCCAGAAACTAAAAAGGGGAAGGCAACGGAATGTCCCTTAGAACTTCCAGAGGGAGCCTGTCCCTACTGACTCCCTGATTTTGACCCACTGAAACTGATTTTGGTCTTCTGACACTCAGGACTATAAGACAATAAATGCATGTTACTTTAAGCCACAAAGTTCAGGGAGTAACTTGTTACAGCATCCATAAGAAAAGAAGAAAATAATACAGGAACCTTTAGATATCATCTAGTCCAGTGGTTTTGAAACAGTGTCCAAAACTCCTTCTTCCAGTTCTACTTCAACTCAAGCTGCCTAGCTTTGATCTCTCTTAATCGTGGCCTTCTAAAAAGATTGCATTGTTTTGAAAAACGACTCTATAGAATTGAACAACAAAGTCAGTAATTTAGTCAGGTATAGAATTCTATAGATGAAGACAAAGAAAAAGCCCAAGAAAGTGAAATGATTTTCCCTGACTCACTCAAAGACCACCAGATAAATAAATATATAAACAAACAAACAGACACAGCTTCTTACCCTCATTTAGAGCATTTTCTACCACATTGTTCTAGAATTGGAAAAGTAGATTGGAGATAAATTGTCAAGGAATAAATGAAATAATATATGTAGAGTGCTTAAAAGACTGCCTGGCGCATACACACTCACATAAATTAGTTATAATTGTAATATGTACTTGCATACGTACAGAATATCTCTACAAGTATACACAAAAATTTGGTAATAGTTTCCTCTCAGTAGGAGAAATGAGATACAAAGGTGGGAAAGAAACTGAATTTTCTCTGTGCTGTACGTCATTTTTAACCATGTGCATGTTCCATCTATCTATCTAACTGTCCATCCACCCATCCCTAAAGGGTGAACAGAATTGAGTGGAGCTATCCTTCCTTGCTTAGGATCAGGATTCCCATTTCCTCCATGTGGAAGCACAAGAGAACCAATAAACTCAAAATCGTTAAGAAATCAAGACAAATCAGATTGTAATTATAAAGTATAAAGCAAAGTTTCACTGCAGCCCAAAGTCATCTCCGTAGGGGTCCCTTCAGAGCACATTTGTCTGCAAGATAATCTGCCTTCCAGAATTAATATTTTTTTAAAAAATTGTATTAATATTGTCCAGTCGGATTAGAAAATTTAACTAGGCAAGGCTCACTGCCAATTTATTAAACATGAAACTTTCATCTGCCATGGTTTCTGTCCTGAGACTATCTAGTCACAAGATTAGAACACCTGAATGATCCCCTTCACGGCTTGCCTGTGTGCCCCATCTCCAGCCAAGGTAAAAATAGCACTGTTTACCCAGCTATGTCACCCGTCTAGTATCCACCCTCTAGGAAATCAATTAGGTGGTTCCCCTGGGACTCATGGAACTCCAATCTCATCTGCTAATTTTCTTGGACTGAGTAAACTGCACTCAGCTCCTTCCTCCCCCAAAATAATGCGGACACTATTTTTTTTTCACCCAGTTTGGGTCTATCCCATAAGTAAGTTGCTATATTCCCCTGTCCATTCTAAATCCAAACCTAGTCCAGATCGAAACCTAATTTTTCCCCCTAATTTTCTAGATTGCTGCTTGTCTGCTGCACTTGGCCTGAGAATGATGGGATAAACTGCTACAATCTCTAAAGACAAGCCCAAGTCCTTGTGGACCAAGAACATTTATCATTTGTGATGCTAAGTCAGCTGATATTCATAACCTGGCAGTTGGTGTCCCAGACTAGGAGCGGGAAAAAGCATGGCAGCTGCCCCACTCTTGAATACTCACATCAATTCTGTCTAGAAGAATGAGATGTTCTAAGCCTAGAGATCTGGAAAGAGAAGATTCATTCAGCTGTAGAAATAGGACCGGGGTGAACTTGATATGATACTCACTGACCCAATTGCTTGGGTTTACTGTCATTGTCAGAGATTCCAAGCCAGACTCCTAGAATCACTGGAAGGAAAGAGAAGTCCCATGGAAGCTGAGACCCATCCTTAGCTGAATGCTTGTTGTCAGACAATATCAAGTTTCAACCAACCCCCAGTTTTCATACTGCTTCAAACCACACACTAGAACAGTAGTTGGGAACTCTTACTATTGCTGTATCCTTGAAAATTATAAGGAAATGTGGTGCTATAAATGGGAGTTCTATATCTTCTCTTCATGTGGAATTCAGTGAATGTCTGACTTCCAGAAGCCCTTATATTCATTCTCTGGATAATCCCACAAAGAGTTTTCCCAGCCCTCAAGGGAATGATTTTCCACTGGAGAAAATAATGCTGGTACCTGTAGGGTAATGAGTTACTCCTCTCCCCCACCAGACTACCTTAGGCTGTATGTCTGCTGCCTGAACCCTGAAGGCCAGGTGGTGATCCAAAGCCATGCATGGTGCCCAGCTGAGTAGACAATGTGCCTTTGAACACCAAAGCATCCCGGAGGGTACCGGGAAACATACCAAGAAAAAGAGTCTCATTGCATATGGAAGGCAAAGAGCCAGAAAATTAGCTTAAAAGCTGCTTGCAGATGAGTGGCAGTGCAGATCCCCAGAGCTGTCCTGCTGCCACCCAGGAATGCCCTATACGTAAGTCCCAATCAGTTCATCTGCTTATCAAGCTGGACTTGTCCAGGTCACTCTTTGGTCTTTTAGCTCCTTTCCTTTTTTTTTTTTTTTTTTTTTTTTTTTTTTTTTTTTTTTTTGGAGGCAGGGGGCATTATTGTATACAGTCCCAGGTTTTTGCCTTATCAGTACCTGATGCCCTGATTCTGGCTCAGGCCAGAATACCGAAGAATGATCAGCCGGCGAAGGGAAAGAAGAGGGCCCACTGGATTCTCACTCAGCTAGTTAGGGGATGGGGGTGCAAAACCAGGCTTCAGCTAGAGCACAGTAGGAACTGAAATTTACTTGCAGCTCGGAAGTTTATTAGTCAAGGGGATTGGGCCAGATGGTGTTTGTATGCTTGACTCCTGCATCCCAGTGCCCTGGCTGTAACGAGGAAGAGGGCTGATTGTTTCACTAGCTGCGGGTGATGTCATTGCAGAAACATGCTGACCTCTCTCTCCCGGGTCCCCTTTGCCATGGCTGGGGTCCAGCACTATCAGATAGGCTCCACATCTGTTTCTTGTGCTTGAGCTGGAGGGATGATGTTTTTTAGAATCTCAGCATAGTATCGGCTAAATACCTGCTGATTATGGTGCATCAGACTGACAAACTTCCAGCCCAGTTCTGCCAACTCTCTTTCAATGAGAATGAGGCCTCTAGGAAAGTGTAGCAGAGACTCCTTCATGCCATGCAGCAAACAGAATTTGAGAAACAAACGGATCCGCTGATCTGTGAACAGGGGGAAAACAGTGAAAAGAGGAACAAAGAAGGTTCAGAAGAAATTCACAATGCCTTTGCACTATCTGCTCCCCAAAGTTTTATGTTAACCGAGTTATTCACTGACCTCTTCGCTCACTTGGGTAAACCATATACATGAGATTTTTGTTTGTCTGGGGGAAGGGAATGCCATCAGGCTCCCAAAGGGCAGTGTGTGATCAAAAGATGCTGAGCTAGTAAATTTCTGGTGGTTTGTAATATTACTTTATATAGCTGTACACGGGATCCGAGTGCACGTTTAACTTGACGAGAAGACCGCAGGCCCAGTACCTGAAAGTAACAACACATGTTGCAGCCAGTGCACCAAGTTTAGGCCCATACACCCAATCCAGACTATGATCAGATGCTAAACTTCAAAGCAGGTGGCCAAATTCACTGCTTCCATTCCAGCATGGAACATGTCCTACAGCCTAACTCAGCATCGCTTCCATGGAGAGGAGTAGGGGCCCATGCGGTAGCTTAAAGCATAGGACAGAGAAAGGGCTTCTCCATGTATCTTGGCTGACAGTTAGAAAATGACCAGGAATGACTCCGTGGGGGTTGTGTAACAGCATCCCACCCCTGTGAGTCACAGATTTTGGGTGCAGAGCCACCTTCAAACCACATACGCAGTCTTCAAACTGAAAAAGATCTATTAGAATCGTGCACATTATAGACGAGGAAACTAAAGCTAAAAAACTTTCCAAATGATCATGCCTTTTCATTTTTAAATGGGTAGGTAACTCACTTTCAGGGTAAGGTCTCCCTGCCCACCCCCCACATTCTTGCCACTTTTCTGTACCGTGACCATGGGGATTCTTACCAACGATGCTACGAATGCAGTTCTCTTTCTTGGCGATGTCCTGGAGCTGGCCTAGAAGAGATGCTGTATTTTCACTGCTCAGAGTAGTGAGGCCCACGTCCTTGAGGCCTTGATGGATTTCCTGAGACACCTGTTCACTCACACTCAGCATAGCCTCTTCGGGCCTAGATAATGAAGGATAGAAGGCAGAGTGGGCCTGGCAGAGGGGCAAAGCCCAGAGAGACTCATAACAGAAGCCAGACCTATCCGAGGAAGAATTCCAGCTCTCTGCCACCAGAAGACAGCATCAGCCACTGGGCAAGTGAAATATACTCATTGTTACCCGCAAAGTACCACCTGATCCAAGCATACAGTACCATAGGCCACTTCAAAGAAAACAAAGTATATTGGGCAAGGGTTCAGTGCCATCCTTGGATCCACTCAGCATTCTCCACTCCCATCAGCTTTATTTAAATATTGTTTTAAGATCCTATTGGGTATTTTTCATGGTTTTTCTCCTACTCCACCGATTAGACTGCAAAGATATTGAGATGCCTTGACTGCCAGCTCCTCCTTGTACCTTGTTACAGTATCCCTGCCCCTACATGCAGTGAATGGTCAATATCACTGACCAACTTCTGGATACACATAGCACAAATCCACTGTCATTCAATCAAGGATATAATGACTCACTTATAGCTAGCACATAAGGAATATCTGTGGCAAACTGGCTTCCACACTCCCCTCTGGAAAAATAAGTTTTATTTTTGTATCCCAAACCTCAGTACAACTTATCAAAGACACCAAAATCCTTGGAGATGGTTCCCAAGGGCCTTTGTGTGGTTTGTGATGAAGAATAAGCAATAATAATATTAACTATTAACATTACCTGCCTATGTCCCAAATACCACACGTTTTCCTCTTTAACAGAGATCTGTGAATCTTACCTGGAGATAAATTCCTCAGTCAGGGCCTTGGTGATGCATTTCAGTCTATCCACAAATTCAGGTGAGCTGAATAAAACTTCACCAGAGAAACTTCTGGCCACTAGCAAGACTGAGTCCAGAATGGTTAACTGGTGCAAGTGGAACGCCATTTCCTGGAGCCGGATCCTGTCCATCAGCAGAGTCTGGTGTGGGAGCGAAGGACAGCCCATCAGAAGAGGAGGGTTCAAATGCAGGCACCGAATACAATAGAATAAGGCAATGCCCCAACACATATCCCTACCTCAGGAAATTCTTCTTTTTCAGGATCCCAGCAGAGGAGGTTGAGGTAGCCTTGGTATAGCACCATTGTTGGACTGGGCGGCTCGGAGTTGTAAGCTGCCCGGTTTGGAAGTGAACACGCCATGCTGCAGGAGGAGCCAGGTGAGTCAGGAGAACTCGGACATAGTGTAGAGATGTCTGTGGCTGCTTTGGTTAGCCATTTTGTGGTATAATTGAGGAGACCTAAGACAGAGAAGGGAATTTGCATCTTAAAAATCCCAAGGCTTAAAGACAAAGGCTTTGAGACATACTCTTGGTCAATAAAGACGTGTTTTTGTAGGTCTTTCCGTCTTAGAGAAACACTCCATCTCCCTACCCCTTGTCCGAGGAAGAAACATTCCATTCAAAAAATAGAAAGTAGTCTCTACTGCTATAGGAAGGCAGACCCAAGGTCAAATCTCCCCTCTCCTGCCCTTAGATTTTAAACATACTGGGCTGCTTATCAAGGAGTTCCTGGAATTTAGCTTGTTCATACTGGATGGAATGCTCCTGCAGGTAGGGTTGAAAACTCTTGATGGTATAGTTTGCCATGTCCATTTTCATTAGGCCCAGAACACGGAAGATGCCCCTGCCATAGGGAGAAACAGAACATTTACACTACTAAAGGAAATCTAGTGTGAAAGGGTGGAATCCAAGCAAGGAGCCATAAAAGCAGAGTATTTGAGAGTTAGAAGAAGCCTCAAAAACAAACAGTCCTACTTCAACTTATGAATGATGGTACTGTGGCTAGTGACCCAAGGCCATAGAGTGAGTTGATGGCAAAACTAAGGACACTTATACCTCCTGACACTTTAACTACCGGCTTAGAGATCTTTTCCCTGCGGTCATTCTGTCACCTTGAAAAAAGGGTAGTCAGTGGAAGGAAATGACCAAGGCGTTAACAATTATTATGTGGATAGTTGGGATGTGGTTGACTGAATTTCTAACGCATTCAGCAGATCATTTTACTTTTGCAGGTCCTGGTTCTTCTAGCTGTGAAACACGGATAATCCTCTGTCCTGTCCCCTCACAGGGTTTCAGTTGGGATGAACAGAAGAACATTGGGGAAAAGGCAATTTGCAATCTATAGGAGAAAGAATTACCGTACCTTAATGTCTTAACAATATCATGACATAAAGGAGGCCCAACTGATCCAAAGATCATCAAAGGAACCCCGAGAGGCTATCCTTAGAAAATAAAAGCCAATAATCCAGTAAGGAGAAAAGGTGCCAGTCAAGTCGTCAGTACACAAGAGCCAGATAAGACGGGGACTATATCACAGTATCTGGCTCAGAGTTCTCTAGCACAGTGTCTAAGGCAGATTTGGGGGACAGCACATCTAGACTCTCACCGCAGTAACTGCACTGGATCTGCTATGGTCTCTAGTTTCTGTACCGCTTCATCTCGAACTGGTGCACATAGCAGGGCCATCAAATTGAGAATGTAGTTAGAAAGACGAGGGACATCCAGGGCCCCATGTTCTGCTTCCTGCTTGAGAAGATCTGTGTCCAGAGCTTCTTCTATCTCGTTTCTTAGGCGGTTCTGCCGTGGTAATAGCAGTGACAGCAAGATCTGCCCAACAAAGGAAATCAAAGGAGCCAAGTTCTGTTTAGAACCCCAAACTTTCTCCAATGAACTAGGCTCTTAGGCCAAAGCCATTCCGGATTATGTCTTCTGGGGGTCAGAAAACTGAGTCTCTAGGTTTCCTAGAGAGTATTATTTCTTTCTGTTTAGAAGACAGTTACCATTCAAGGTTTCATCGGGATCAGTTATAGTAGTAGTCATTATTATTTTTTAGGTAGAATGAGGTTAAAAAATATAAATAAAAACAAGAATGTGACTTTCAATGTGTGGGATACAAGAAATGTGAAATACACACCACCACAAGGAGATGAGGTATTCTTAATAAAAGATAAGGACATTTTTAGATTCTTTTACTCCATAGTGTGAGGATAAAACTGAAATTGCCTTTTGACTCAAAAATGTAAGTTCTTTGTGGACAAGGGCTTTCCTACTCATCTTTGTGTTTCTGAAACACATAGACCGTAGTGGGGTTTCAGTAAGAATTTGTTTAATTGAATTATATATTGTTACAGTAATCGCTCAATTGTTTCATCTTATACAAATAAAATGGAAGCTGCCCCATCCTATCTGTTTAAGTAGTAGGCCACATTAAAAAGTATGCTACTTAAGATATTAACAGCCATTGACAATCCAAGGTTTTGAGATGCCCAGGAACTTCCCATCCACGAATGGGAGGTTGGCTACTCACCTCCTTAATTTCTTTTAGAAATCTAAGAGCACAGGTAAAGTCAGGAGGAGTACTCAATAGCTGTTCTTTCAGATGGTTCCAAAAAGCATTGCACGTTGCCTCTGCGAACCTGCCTTCCACACTGTAAGAAGGGTTAAATGAGCAGATTTCTCTTTACCTAGAGAATTGATACAGGATCATAATCTCCCAAACAGCATTTAAAATTGTGAAAGACCACGTTTACAGACTTGCATATGTTGAACCAGCCTTGCATCCCTGGGATGAACCCTACTTGATCTTGGTGGATAAGCATTTTGATGTGCTGTTACAATCGGCTTGCCAGTATTTCATTGAAGATTTTTGCATCTATGTTCATCATGGATATTGGCCTGAAGTTTTCTCTTCTTGTTGAATCTCTGATTATCTCAATTGATGAAGAGAAGGCCTTTGACAGAATTCAACAGCCCTTTATTCTAAAACCCCTCAATAAGCTAGGTATTGACGGAACGTATCTCCAAATAATAAAAGCTATTTATGACAAACCAACAGCCAATATCATACTGAATGGGCAATAACTGGAAGTATTCCCTTTGAAATCTGGCACTAGACAAGGATGCCCTCTCTCACCACTCCTATTCAATATAGTACTGGAAGTTCTAGCCAGAGCAATCAGGCAAGAAAAAGAAATAAAGGGTATTCAAATAGGAAAGGAGGAAGTCAAATTGGCTCTATTTGCAGACGACATGATTGTATATCTAGAAGAACCTGTCGTCTCAGCCCAAAATCTCCTTAAACTGATAAGCAACTTCAGCAAAGTCTCAGGATACAAAAGCAATGTGCAAAAATCACAAGCATTCCTATACACCAATAACAGACTTAAAGAGAGCCAAATCAAGAACCAACTGCCATTCACAATTGCCACAAAGGGAATAAAATACCTAGGAATACAACTAACAAGGAATGTAAAGAACCTCTTCAAGGAGAACTACAAGCCACTGCTCAAGGAAATAAGAGAGGACACCAACAGATGGAGAAACATTCCATGTTCATGGTTAGGAAGAATCAATATCGTGAAAATAGCCATACTGCCCAAAGTAATTTACAGATTCAACACTATCCCCATCAAGCTACGAATGACCTTCTTCACAGAACTGGAAAAAAACACCTTAAACTTCATATGGAACCAAAAGAGAGCCCGCATAGCCAAGTCAATTCTAAGCAAAAAGAACAAAGCGGGAGGCATCACACTACCCAGACTTCAAACTATACTACAAGGCTACAGTAATCAAAACAGCATGGTACTGGTACCAAAACAGAGATATAGACCAATGGAACAGAACAGAGGCCTCGGAGGCAGCGCAACATAACTACAGCTAGTGCTCGACTTACGACCATGATTGGTTCTGACAGACCAGTCGTAACACGATTTGGTCGTAAGTTGAGTAAGCTATATGTACAGTACTGTGAAATGATGTTATAAAAATCTTTAAGTCATATTTTATCATAATTTTCTTTCATTATTGTTATATATCATAATTTTCTTTGTTCATTTTATGCCATTTGTATCATCTCTACACCATTTTGTTTCTTATTTTTACATTCGTCAGGTTTAAGTAAAACACTGCATTACCAGTACAGCTGGTTTAATATTTGCAAAACATACAAAATTACAAAATACAGGTGCATACAAAAATACAAAATACAGGTGTAAAAAATACCATAGGAAACATTTTCCCAATTGCAAAACATATCAAAATACATAAACATGTACGAAACATTTTATTGGCCGCTGGTGCTTGGCTGCGGATCGTTGATGTCATCATCTGAGGCAGCAGTTGGGGTTACTGGAGTTGGTTTTTTCATAAACATGGTGAGCTTTGTCTGAATTGTATGTTTCTTTTTTTCTTCATAAATTTCACGATATGGACGAAACACATCGTGCGCCATCCATTCAATCCTTGCAAATCGTTCGATGTTTGGGTCCATTGCTTCGAAATGTATAAGAAGTTTATTCAGTAAAGATAAATCGTCTGATAATCCCTTAGTGGCGAACTTTCTTTCTGGCTCCTCCTCTATTTTCTCTGCTTCTCTTCTTTCTTCTTCCACCACTCTTTCTTCTTCCAGTTCGATTAGCTCTTCATCTGTAAGTTCATCAACATTGAAAATCTGTTCTGCTAGATATCCCTCATCTGTAATTAATTCATCCACTATCAACAAACTTTCGTGCTCCTTCCTCATCCACACTCACTGCTTCTCCAGTCACTCGAACACTATGCATTTTGGAATCTTTTCTTGAATCTCTGGAACCAGCCAGTGCTTGCTACAAATTCTTGACTGTAATCTTCTCCAGCACGCTCCTTCAGAGTCTGAAATAGACTTCTCGCCTTCATCTGCACAGTGAAAAGACTTAATGGTGTCCATTTTTGAATTTGATCTTCCATCCAAATATATAGCAATTTCTCCATTTCGTGGATGGACCTGCTTCGTTGCTTTGCTATAACTGTTGATTGCATGGGTGCAGAACCTTTCACAGCTTCATGAATTCTTTCTTTATCTTTCAAAATCGTCAACACAGTCGAGTGTGATAACTTCGTATCACATGCGATCACATTCACTTTCTTTCCTCCTTCGTACTGCTTAATTACCTTCATTATCGAGTCGAGATCAGTGGCCTTTCTTTCCCTCTTGGTAGGCTGAGGCATAGACAAAGACAATTTCCTCTTGGTAGACATCTTGGGAGGGGTTTGATAAAAATATCCAAGACACAAAACACAAATTGCTGTACCGAGTCTGGGATAACAGTTGAAATGGTGCATGTGGAGATGGTAGTGCTGCTGGAAGCTGGTCTGCACTGTCAGATGCCCAGCTGGGCAACGTTTGCACTGCCAGACGCAGAGCAGTCATGGCTAGCAATTGTGGTCATAAAGTCAAATGGTCGTAAGTTGCATAGGTTGTAAGTCAATCAATACCTGTACAACCATCTGATCTTTGACAAACCTGACAAAAACAAGCAATGGGGAAAGGATTCCCTATTTAATAAATGGTGTTGGGAAAACTGGCTAGCCATGTGCAGAAAGCAGAAACTGGACCCCTTCCTGACACCTTACACTAAAATTAACTCCAGATGGATTAAAGACTTAAACATAAGACCTAACACCATAAAAACCCTAGAAGAAAATCTAGGCAAAACCATTCAGGACATAGGCGTAGGCAAGGACTTCATGACAAAAACACCAAAAGCATTGGCAACAAAAGCCAAAATAGACAAAGGGGACCTAATCAAACTCCACAGCTTCTGCACGGCCAAAGAAACAGTCATTAGAGTGAATCAGCAACCAACAGAATGGGAAAAAAAATGCAGTTTACCCATCTGACAAAGGGCTGATATCCAGAATTCACAAAGAACTAAAACAGATTTACAAAAAAAAAAAAAAAAAAAAAAAAAAAAAAAAAAAAAAACAAGCCCATTCAAAAGTGGGCAAAGGATATGAACAGATACTTTACAAAAGAAGACACACATGAGGCCAACAAACATGAAAAAATGCTCATCATCACTGGTCATCAGAGAAATGCAAATCAAAACTACATTGAGATACCATCTCACGTCAATTAGAATGGCGATCATTAAAAAATCTGGAGACAACAGATGCTGGAGAGGATATGGAGAAATAGGAACACCTTTACACTGTTGGTGGGAGTGTAAATTAGTTCAACCATTGTGGAAGACAGTGTGGTGATTCCTCAAGGATCTAGAAGTAGAAATTCCATTTGACCCAACAATCCCATTACTGGGTGTATATCCAAAGGATTATAAATCATTCCACTATAAGAACACGTGTACACGAATGTTCATAGCAGCACTGTTCACAATAGCAAAGACCTGGAACCAACCCAAATGTCCATTGATGATAGACGGGACAGGGAAAATGTGGTATATGTACATCGTGGAATATTATGCAGCCATCAAAAACGGTGAGTTCATGTCCTTTGTAGAGACATGGATGAACCTGGAAACCATCATTCTCAGCAAACTGACACAAGAGCAGAAAATCGAACACCACATGATCTCACTCATAGGCGGGTGTTGAACAATGAGAACACATGGACACAGGGAGGGAAGCACTACACACTGGGGTCTGTTGAGGGGAAACAGGGGAGGGACAGCAGCGGGTGGGGAGCTGGGGAGAGATAGCATGGGGAGAAATGCCAGATGTAGGTGATGGGGAGGAAGGCATCAAGTCACACTGCCACATGTGTACTAATGCAACAATCTTGCATGTTCTTCACATGTACCCTAAAACCTAAAACGTAATAAAATAAAAAAATAAGAAAAATAAATAAAAAATAAAATAAAATAAAATTATGAAAGACCATTGCATTGGCAGGCTAGGAGGACCTATGTTTAGCCTTGAGAAGGACTGAATAAACTGAAGTTAGTCTCAGATGGAAAAGCACGGGCTACATTCTCTCAGAAGAGTAACTCATGGTTCCAGAGATGCTCTCTTCCTGCAGCAGGAAGAACAATAAACTAGAAGTTGAGGCCCCAACTTCTAACCCTAGTTCTGCATCTAACCTGGATATGTGACTTAGTTTCCCCTGCCATACACTTAAACCTTTGAACCAGATGCTATTTCCTTCAGGCCTGAAATCTATGAAAGGATTTTACCTCTTGATAATACTTGAAGGTCATTTGAGACACTTAACTTCAGCAACCCCAAAACTGTCTCTTTCAGACAACGAAGATAAAACCAAAACAATGAAACATATTACATAATGATAAAAAGTTAAATTAAACAGGAAGATCTAACTACTGTAAATATATATGCACTCAACACAGGAGCGCCCAGATTCATAAACCAAGTTCTTAGAGACCTTCAAAGGGAAATGGGTGCCTCCCAATAATAGTCGGAGACTTTAACAGCACACTGAAATCAGACAAATTATTGAGTTAGAAAATTAACAAAGATATTCAGGACCTGAATTCATCACTGGATCAAATGGGCTTGATAGACATTACAGAACTCTCTATACAAAACTAACAGAATATACATTCTTCTCATCTCTACAGAGCACTTACTCTAAAATCAATCACATATTTGGAAGTAAAACACTTCTCAGCAAGAACTAAAAATCATAACAAACAATCTCGTGAACCACAGTG